AGGTCAGTCTGGGCAATCTATATGAGATTCTCTGTCAAAATTTAAAAGGGTTGGGCTGGGGAGATAGCTTGGTGACATAAGTGCCTGCCTGGCAAGCACAGGGTCCTGAGTTGGATGCTTGGTACTAAAAAGAAAAACAAAAAGAATTAAAAGGATTGCAGATGTAATTCAATGGTAGGGCACTTTCCTAGCTTGTGTGAGACCCCTAGTACTGAAAAATTATTCCTAGATCCTTAAGTTTCACAAGCACAGGGTTCCACCCTAACGATACAGAATTATTCATTCTATCGATTAATAATTACTGCTGTCTACGTGAATCTGAGGAAATCATAATCTTGAGGAAAGATTATGTTAAGAGAAAGGATTGAAGCCCAGTAAGGTGGCTGCACCCCTGCAATCCCAGCTCTCAGGGGGCTGAGGCAGGATGATGGCTGAGTTCAAGGCTAGCCCAGGCTACTTAAAGGAGTTCAAGGCCAGCCTGAACTACACAGTGTGAGAGACCCTGTTTCAAAACAAAAACAAAAACAAAAAACGAGAGAGTCTGTGGGTATGTCCAGCCCTGGCCAGGAAATGGAGAGGGGTCGCCAGGGGACAGAGGCAAATGTCATCCTGCAGCTTTACTTCTCATGATTCAACTATATCTTAAATTTACTCACCAGTCTCTTCCAAGTTTGGTGAGTCAATCTCCTTGGACACAACCAGTTGAGTGCTCTACAAAACTGAATTTCTGGTGTAAGAAGCTGAGATGCAGACACCCATGGTGGAGAGCAGCTGATGCATCTGACACTCTGGTGCAACCCTCTCCACAGTTTACAAAGTCCCCAGACAACAGGCCTTCTCATAGCTGGTGCTTTCAAATCAACAGCTCTTTCTACCTACAATGTCCTTTGCTCAATCTTATCTGCCTAAGCAGGGTGTGGTGCTGCATGCCCGTAATCCCAGCATTTCGGAGGCTGACACAGGAGAATCCCTGCAAGTTTGAGGCCAGCTTGAGCTACAGAGCAAGACCCTGTCTCAAAAAAAAAAAAAAAAAAAAAGTGCCTGCAAAACTATTCTTCCAAAGCCCAGGTCAGGTCACCTAACTCCAGGAAGACTTTCTAACTTCCCCCAGGCATTTAGTTGTTACGGTTCCCAACAACTCTTTAAGGACAGCAACAGTAGAGGATTTAAATAGACACTGTAGCTCATCTTTTAACTATTTGACCTCTCTAGGTACTGAGCTCCTAGAAAAAAGGAAGTTACTTGTATCCACAAGTTCTAGCAGAATATCTAAGCACCAAAGGGTGTCAATGTAGCATGACTGATACATGGGCAGTAAGCTATTAAGAAAAAAAAAAAAAGTGACAGAATTCAAGAACTGAATTATCTACCTACACAGTCAATCTCACAAAATGACCCAAATATGGCAACATAGTTATTTTTTTAAATTGAAACAACAATAACCTTTGAACATATGCTTAATTTGATCTGCTCAACAACCCTAAGAGGCATTTTTATTTGCACAGAAGTTGAGGAAACCCATCTTAGGCAATTTAGCAAGACCCTGTCCCAAAATTTAAAAAGTAGGTCACTGATAAGGCCCTGGGTCTGACCCCTAGTATCAGGAGAGGAAAAAAAAAGATAAGGAAACTGAGGCACAAAAGAAGTTAAACAATTCCAATGAGTAGCAGAAGCAAATATAAATTTCAAATTTATATTTCAGCAGCCTGACTCCAGGGCAGAATTGGTGCCAATTCAGGTTATATTATGAATGTGACTCCAGATTCGTCATCATTCCCCACTGGACTCTTTTTCCTGTAAAATGGGTACAATAATTTATTTCCCTAGGTGACAGAGGATTGAGATAAATATATTAGTGTATATAAAAATTGTTGCAATTCTCCCCTCGGGCCTAGCAGGCACTCCATAAGTGCTGGGTCATTTTCCCTTTGCTTCCTAAAGCTGAGTAAAGCAGACCCCAAGCACAAGGATCAATCTGCTGGGTTGAGGCTTTTCCAAACAGATCAGGCAGTTAGACCACTTGGCTCAGAAACTCTTTCCTTACTGCTTATCTCAAAGCACATTCCCAGCATCGGGGCGGGAGACCTTTTGAATGTAAAAGTTCCTAATTACTGTGGAGCTCCAATCCAAATTAAACAGAAAAAGCATTCCCCTAGGCCAGGGTGCCCCAGCCAGCCCAGCCCTCCTGGGCGTTTACCTCCCCTCTCCCCTTGCCCTCTCTCCGTCCTCCAGCAGCAGCCCCTGGGACCTCTTTCACTTCCTCCAGCCTGCCGGCCTGCGCTGCTGCACATGCAGTACTCTCCACCCGCCTGCAGGCCAGGGCCTCCACAGCACTTCCTCAGGGAGGGCTTCCCGTGCCCCTAACTCAAATCAGTCCTTTCCTTCCTGCTACTCACCATAGTTTGAAATTATTAGCTTACCACTTCCTTAGAACTTTTATTCCAAAGACACCGAGGGTAAAGGTGGAGCTCACTGGTGGAACACTTACCTAACATATGCCAGGTGAAAAAAAACAACTTTAGAGACCCTTCCCAGGGTACTCTAATGTAATTTCAGCCCCGACTCCTGGTAGCTCAGATGCTCTGTATTTTTCCTTCTCTTACATATTTTATTTATTGTTTTCACATATACATAGAAAATTCAAACAAAGGCGTGTTTTGTTTGATTTTGTTTGCTGTACTGAGGACTGAACTCCCAGTGATCAGAATGCCAAAAAGTGCTCTACCACCGAGGTAAAGTACCCTACCCCCTTTTTCTTTACATTTTATTTTTCAGGCATGATCTTGCTAAATTGCCCAGGTTGGTCTCCAACTGGAGATCTTCCTGCCTCAGCCTCCTGCATGCTGTAATTATAAGTGTGCACCACCATGCCCACAAACCCAGTTATTTTTGCTTGCTTTGTTCACTGAAACTAAAACGAATGCCTGGAATTTATTTTTTGATAAATGTCTATTGGTGGATGAATTTTCTTTATTACCAGACTTTCCCATGAAGCTAAGGGCACCAACACTAAAATTCCATCCGTGTCTTTCTAGTTTGCCACTGCACCCCTCCAACACTTATCTCAGTCATAAGCATATAGGAAGTGCTCAGTAAAAAACATACAGTTGGACATAGTGCCAACAGTTGTAGTCCCAGTTACTCAAGAGGCTGAGGTAAAATGATTACTTGAGACCAGAAGTTAGAGGCCAGCCTGAGCAACATATCCAAACCTGGCATCCAAAACAAACAAACAAACAAAAAAAAAAGCCATAACCAGTGGAAAAACTGGAAAACGATCAAAATAAGCGCACTAAGACCTAGAGAAAGATCTCTGCAATCCCAGCACGCACTCCCAGGTCAGGCATCCACCTGTCCACATCCTATGTACCCCACCATGGTGTCACACCTGAGTCCAGCACCACACAGGCCCCATCAGCCCCAGGGTACACCAAGCAAGTGGGCAAATCTCAGGCCTGATACCTGTTACCCCAGTGCCGAGTCCACACTGCCAGTCCTATCTAGGCCAGCTCCGACACCAAACATGCTTCCTTGGGTGAGCCGGCGGGTTTATTCTAAGCTAGAACTTCTGATTCCACCTCTGACCTACTCCCAGAATTTAAAAAAAAAGTTAAAGATCCCCAACAACTCCAAAAACCCTGAGGTTCTCCAGAGCAGGCGAACCTGAGGTCATGGGGACCCCTCCCCCTCATAAACGCCTATCCAGGCCAGGAGGCCATCTGTCTCGAAGACACTGCCCGGCCCTCCCGCGGGTCACACGGCTTCCCCTCCCCGGGCGGCAGGAGGAGTTCCCGCAGAGACAGAGCCCACCCCCGGCGCGGGCCTGGCAGCGCCGGCCCGGAATCTCCAACTCGGGCGCGGGGTACCTGTCTGCGAGCGAGGGACACGACACCTGGGCCAGGCCGGAGCCAGGTGGCGAGGGACGCCCCCGAGGAGCGACCCGTGTCCGCCCGGGACCGCGCTGGCTCTCGGGGACGCGAGGTGACAGGGCGTCCGGCGGGCGACCGCGGCACCGTTATCCGGGCCAGGCAGGGGGCGCAGGCGGCAGGGCGGGAGGGACAGGGCCGGGGCCCGGGTCGGGGCCAGGCTGGGGTCGGGGCCGG